TGTAACACTAAATGAATTAACTTGGTCAGAAAAAGTCACTGCCTTTCGATCTCCTTTCCAAGTTTATCCTCCTCTATCCGGTCACTAATGATGACAGTCTTCCTTTGTCTCTAAGGCAGTCTTTGGCCCTCTTTTCTTTCCATTCGACACTTGCTCCCTAGCTCAACTCCTGCATGGTCATCACTCTAATGTGGATATGCAAAGACCCAAGATTTACGCACCCAGTCCGGACCTCTTCTTTGCATCCCAGATATTCAACTTCCAGCTTTGGGTATCACAAAATCAACTCCAGTCCACACCTAAGATGAAAATCATTTCTCCCCCACCCTCTCACCCCTTCCCCCCACTCCTCCAAGCCTGCCACTCTTCCAAAGCACTCGTCTCAGGAAAGGCCACACCATATACCCTAAACCAACACTAGAGTGTCCAACGTGAAACTTGTCTCTCTCCCTCCTAAATCCAACTGGTCATTAAGTCCTGTCACTTACACCTTAGAACATCTCCCAAATCCATCCATTTCTACCAGCAAATATTAGTCCAAGTTACCATAATCTGCACATGGCCTAACCGGTCTTCCCGGAGCCACTCATACCCTTGTCTAATTTGCTGGGCAGGATGAGGGCCCAGCAAGGGTCCAACCTTTGGTGACCTCGCCAGCCTCAGCTGATACTGTATTCCTAGCTCTCCACTCTCTCGCTGCTGGCTTCCTAGCTTTCCCAGCCTGTTCATCCCTATTTCTTCTACCACAGGGCCTTTACACAGGCTGTTTTGCTGCCTGGGGTGCTCGTTTTCTAAATGCTTACTCCTCCACCAGATCTCAGTTCAAACTTCTCTTCCTCAGGATAGCTTCTCTGATCCCTCAGACTGCATCAAGTGTCCCTTTCATTTTCCGAAGTACCCTTCCTTCACTGCCTTTGTCACAATTGTGATCCTACCTGTATTCTTGTGTTTTGTCTGCCTCTCCCACTAAACTGAGCATGCCACAGGGTCACTGACAAGGTCTGGTTTTGCTCACAGTTATAGAGCTCCAGAGCGGGTCCAGCTTCAGCATGGGAAGGTATTCAGTAGCGTTTTTTTTTTGTTTTTTTTTTTAGTTTTTAAAAATATCGCGTTGCTCACAGCCCTAGGTATGCGGAAATGCTTAGAAGCACAAAGGGAATGTTGGCACGTGGCAGATCTCCAGGGCCAACCCCCTACTGCTTCTGATTTTCTGTCAAGAGGAAATAAAAGCATAACTCAGCGGCATCTTCACGGTTTATTCCTGCCAGTTCTATTTTTCTATAAATACAGTCCTCATTTTCAAGGAATTTGGAGAGGATGGTTGCAGGGGACTATTTTGGGGGAGGCGTTGCCTGTTCTACTTTGGAGGGGATGTTATCATTTGTCTTTGTTCCCGGAGCAGCTGTGGGGGTGCGCTGTGGACACCCACTGCTGACCCCACGTAGGAAGCTGGGCGTGTCAGGCTAGCTTCTTTGCAGGCCCCGGCCCGGCCTCGGAGGACAGGTTGCAAGCACGTAAAGATCATGTCCCAGCGGACCTGTTATTTTACCTTCTAGCCATTACTGTGTTTCCCGAGGGCTATGATGCACAGCTGTTTTCTCCTCCAGGGTTTTCGCCACCATCTGGAGCTCAGTCTCGGGGGCTTACTGCCGAAGGCCTTGTCAGGACACTGGCCTTCGGCCTGGAACAGGAAGGATGTACAAGCGGCACGAGGTACGGGTAGGCAGAGAGTTGAAAAATGCATACAACTCAACTGTTGGTGCCAAAATTGAGGGAAGTGTGGAGATTATAACTTTCCAATGTTGTTTTCTTATCATTATGCAACTTACAGAGCAGTACTTGTGGGCGTATCTTTGAAGACGGGGTATACCCAGACACACCTGTCCCATAACTTGAGTAAGAGGAAAACTACAGGATTAGCTAATGATGGCACATTGTTAAGTGTAACTCACTGTGGAAATACAAACAGGCCAAGGATGCACTGTGTCCATGTCCTTTCATGTGTTTAAAAAATACAAATGCATACTATAAATGAATATATGCATTTTGTCTTTGTATTTAAAACTGTACACATTATTTTACATACGAAAGGGCATTATATACAAACGCAGAAATGACAAATATATGCATACCAGCTAAGACTGGCTAACCATTAACCACCCCATAATCAATCAGTCGTCTTGTATGTGTAATATTTAACTCTTATCAATGCATAGGAAAGTTTGTGCTTCAAAGTTTTACTTGAATATATATACAATTTACCATGTTAAACATCCTTACATTGTCCACCATTTTTTTTCTCCTTTGGGCTAAGGACTGGCACCGTAAATTTCTCCAAAAACTAAGGAATGGTATTCCTGAATCCAGTTAAATACAAAGGATACTCTAGTGCAAACCACCGACTTTTTAAAAAAACTAAAATAGCTTCACTCAGTTCATGTACCCCTCCATCTATTTGGATATAAAGATATTCCATAGTATATCCTCAACATTTTCTACTTCAGGAGCTAAATGTCTCTTTAAAAAAAAAACAAAACAAAAACCTCCATACAAATATCACATTCAACTGCCAAATTAATCAGTTAGGCCAGAGAGATCACAAGAACTTGCTAAGAATAGTTAATGATAAGAATGATTAAAACTGTAACTTTGCCCATCACATGTTTTAATTTTTTTTCCCCAAAGAGTTTTAAAGGAAAACAATGATCAACCTTTTAATGATCCATGAGTCATCTGATGTCCTTGTATTTGCATCTGTCAAAGGACCAGTTTTCCAACATCTTGAAGAAGTCAGCAAGAAGCATCCGAGCTTTACCTTAAGGTCTTGCCAAACGGACACAACAAACCTTTTGATTTGCCAGGAGGAAAGGCATCAGCCACACCATCATTCAGGGATTCATGCTGATGAAGGGCCATTAGTTAAATAAGTGTTTGTATTATTATCAGCCATTTTCCACAGCAGAGTCAGGAAGACCATTGTAAAGGATCTTGTGGAGACTTCGTTTTTTTTTTTTTTTTAAAGACTTATCTATGAGAGGGAGGGAGGGAGAGAGTGAGTGTAGGGTGAGGGGCAGAGGGAGAGAATCTCAAGCAGACTCCCTGCTGAACATGGAGCCCAATACGGGCTCAATTCCACCACCCTGAGATCATGACCTGAGCCGAAACCAAGACTCAACCAACTGAGCCAGGCAGGCACCCCGAAACTTTGTTATTTTTTTCCAGTGTTTACAGAACACTCCCTTTTTCATTCTTCAAGTATCTTACACTTCACTTTGTCTAAAGGATATATTTAAGATTTCTCCAGAGGCAAAGATCTAGTTTCACCCTGGGTGGGGGACACAGAGGAGTTATCCATTTAGGGTTTAGCTTGCATGTCAATCTCTCAGCAACGTTTAGCAACGCATGAAAGGCCTACAGGTTTTATTACACCTGTACAATGACCACAGAGGTGCAGAATGCAGTCAGGTGAAGGGACTCAGTCCCAGGGATGACAGTTTTGAGATTTCTGGAATTCGGAGGTTCGTTCTCATCTCCAGAATTAACAGATTATAGCAACAGGACACTGGGGCTGCCATCAAAGGAAGAGTCAGAAAACACCAACTGGCGAGGTCCATGAGAACTGTTTAAGATTTCAAGGCTTTTTGCAACTTTCCTATGTTTGCTATTCTCTTTCATTCCCCAAAGCAATTAGCATTAAAATTCCCAGATCCTGGGGCACCTGGGTGGCTCAGTCGGCTAAGTGTCTGCCTTTGGCTCAGGTCATGATCCCAGGGTCCTGGAATCGAGCCCCACATGGGGCTCTGTGCTCATCGGGGACTCTGCTTGTCCCCTCCCCCCACTAGGGCTAGCTAGCTCTTTCTCTCTCAAATAAATAAAATCTTTTAAAAAATAAAATAAAATTTCCAGATCTGCAGACTCAAGTTCAGGTACAACCAGGAGCCCCGTCTCCTACTTCATGGTTAATTAGGGGTTGAGGAAGAGGGGGAAGGGACCAAGAAACAGAAGAAGTGATGATTCTCAGGAGGAGACTGGGCAGATTGAGTTTTTGAGGATGAAGAGGCTGGAGCAGATGAAAGACTGGAAGGTAGGCCTGGAATGACCTGGGCATTTAATGAGCAACATCAGAACAAACCAAACAAAAAGCATCTGCATAGCTATTCCATCATCTTCTCTCAAACCCGACGGGGGGGTGGGGATGGAATCAGACCTCTTTCTTTATACACTTCCCTCTGCACACTTCTACTCATTTAAAATATATCCACATAGCATGCCACACAAACTCACAATTTTAAGTCATGTAAAGTACTGTTCTTAGCCCTATTCCACAGATGAGAAAACTGAGGTACAGAGATAAATAAACTGAGCAAGGTCATGTAACTACCAAGTATCAGAGCTGGGGCTTGAACCCACACAGACTGACTCCACAGCCTAGGCTCTTCACCCCTCAGCTAGGCTGACTTTCCTCCAATTCCTCTGCTGCCCACAAAGCCATGAACTGTAGAGTTGTCCCTGCCGATACAGTGATGCTTGGTTTTCATTCTCCGGTGTCTTCCTGCCATGTCCAACAATCGTTCATTCAAGATCTTCCCTCCATGGAATAACCTATTCTCATCTGCCAAAGACCATATATAACTTATTCTCTGCTGTGTGTTGATTTTTACCACAGCAGTGAAAAAAAAGGCTGAATAATAAGAAACGGGTTGTCAGTGGTGGAATAAAAGCATTCAATTACAGAAAAGGTGGAATTCTAAGCTCAGGTATTTACAGATTGAACACAAGTGGCGGATCAAAACACAACAAAAAAACCTGAGACACAAGGAAACACGCGGGATCTGAAAGCCATTTTCAATTGCACCCAAGATTTTTACTCAACACAAGAGCCATCCTCAGGCTTGCTTCCCCCCTTTGATTCAGATGGTCTACAACAATTACATTCTAATTAACATACAGAGTTGAAGTCAACCAACTCCCAACGAGAAATGAGGGAAAAATCATCTTACCTGCAGATGTGTGTTTGAACTTCTCGCTTTTCTTCTTTCTCCACTTCCAAGGCTTGAAGATCCTTCCCAGGTTGGCAAACTTACTTCTCCTCCGGATGGGAGGGGTGTGGGTACCTGGGACAAGGGAGTCTGAGCGCATGGCCGCGAGTCTCTCCACTTCCTCAGCTTGTTTTCCCCCCGAGAAAGAGATGGAAAGAGAGAGAGAGAGAAAAGTGTTAAAACGGGATCCTCACAGATGGCCAACGTTTTCCATGGCTACAGATAACAGAAACCACATGACTGAAGTTCCGTTTCTCTTTTTTGCCTTTTGGAATGGAAGTCATCCCAACGTGTTTTCAAGTCTGGAGACGGTCAGCCAAACCCTATGCATCTGGAGCACACCAAAGGTACCCAACACCTCGACTTATCCCTGAGAAGGAGGAACAACGAGGTTGAGGAAGAACAGAACCCTCTTGACACATCAAGATTCCCCAGTGAGGCAGGAGGAAGGCATCAGAAGAGTCAAGTAACAGTCTGTGTAACTACTGGTCCAGCAATCTCTCAGATAAGACTTGGCAGATGCAATCACTATCACACCATCTGCTGAGAAAAGAGGAGGGAGAAAACATTTCTCAACGGTCTGTTTCCAAGGCCAATGCCTCCACCACCCACGACTCTCCTTCCTGCTTTGCCCAGACCCAAAGCAGCCCCAGTATCTGCCGAGGGAGTGTCTCCACCCGAGCCTGATTTTAGAATCACTCACCCTTCATGAGACTTTACAACTGCCTTCGTTCCTCTAGGTTTTCTCATTCTTGGTATTTTGCTTTAACAATAATAATATTACTCTTAGAAGATGGGAGGTGAAAGTGACTTGAGGAAACATCTGGACTAATCCCAGTCACTTCACGTGTGAGGAGATGAAGACCTTCAAACTCATCACGCCTAGTGGACCCTTCCTTGGAGGTCACAATCTTTCATCACTTGTAAAGAAACAAACCCTTTTCCAACTTAAATGAGAATTTACATATCCCAGTGAGGAAAATATACCTGGATTTGGATTTTTAAGACAGAAATAATTAGAAAAAGAAACCACTTGGCAAAATCAGGGGGGTGAGAGAGATTCACTGTTCTAGAAGGTCAGGTTACACCTAGAATTGTGGTGCTGATTCAAAACCACTCTGTTGGGCTTCTAACACCATCTTCAGAGAAATCACCAGACTCTTGCAACACAGGCTTCCTCAGAAGCTCGATCTCACAGTCTGGTCGTCTGCCTGTTGTCCCCTGACACGGTTTTAACTCAGAAACTCACGGATTCAAGAAATATATATATGGCACCTCCACCACGTGCCAGTCGGCATGCTTGGTGACAGAGATGACGGGTTGGCAAAGGCTCCCAAAAACAAGACTGAAGGGAAGTCGATGGATTTGGGAGATGTCTGGGAGCAAAGTCAACAGGGCCTCGTTGGGTGACCTGAGAGGGGGGAGATCGTTCCTGATGCCCAGATTCGTGTCAGTGGAATGACACCCTTCACTGATGGACACAGGGAACACAGGGCAGGTACAGGTCTGGGAGTGAGGACGGCAACCATTTGGACATGTTGTGTGGTGACGGCCCTCAAACCCTTGACTACTACATGGTTCAACGCATGGCAGCTCCTCTTTTCAACCCCTGCATTAAGTGACAACGCAACGCCCTAACAGGCACTGGGATCGTTTCTGGGGCAGACACACAAAATATCTGGATTTGGCTGAGCACAGAGTCAAGGGGAGGAGACACGGGGGTCTCCACTACACACCAGGAGCAACCACACAGAATTCAAAGGAAGCAAATAGGAGAGAGAGACTAATTCTCTCCTTCAGGGCACTGGAGGAGACCCACAGGGGATGGACTTTTTGGCCAAATTTTGAAAAAGGAGGAACTGTTCCCCCCACATGGGGAAGACAGAGAAGTAGACCTCTGGAAGGAGAATGGATCCAAACGAAACGGAGAAGGCTGAAAGAACATGGCATGTCCAGAAACCCATTAGCTCCTGAGTATCACTTAAGCTACGTGAGATAGAGAGCCAACAGTGAGGGACAGGGGCTGGAGGAGTCTGGAGCCCCATCATGCAAGCTTTGGAAAGTTTCTGTTAGGCGTTTGGGTTTTATTCTATAAGCAGAGGGGAAAGGACGAGAATGTGAACATAGGCACTGACATTATGACATGCAACAAATATGTACCGAGTGCTCACTATGTACCAGATGCTTAAATCATGTCAGTAAACAAAACCGGTAAGAATACTGACTCATGGAGCCTCGGCTGGGAGGGCAAGGGGCAGAGCGGATAATGCACATTACAACTAAGTCAACTGTACGCTATGTTAGAAGATCTGTGTTTTGCGGGAAAATGAAAGAAAAAGTAGAACACAGTGAAGGAGATCAAGAGTGTCTGGGTGGGGGACCAGCTTCATGTTAATTAGTGTGATCGAGAAAGCACAGTTAGATTTATTCCTAGGACTAGCAGTGTAACAGCAATGGGAGACTGAACTGCAAGACACAGGTGGAGAGTAATGAAGAGGCCACTGCAATCTCGTTAGGGGAAGGGACTGGGATGCAGGTAGGGCATGCTAGAAGGGACCTGAGAAACGCCGAGATCCAGCCAGGCGGCAGAATCACAGGCTCTTGGCAACTTTCCGAATCAACATGAGGGAGGACAAGGAAGTGGGGATGGCTGAAATTTTTGTGTTTCAGGACTGGGGAGACAGTGAAGACGTTTTATTTTAAGGAGGCTCCGTGCCCCGCGTAGAGCCCTACGTGGGGCCTGAGGAGGCTCCGCGCCCCGCGTAGAGCCCTACGTGGGGCCTGAGGAGGCTCCGCGCCCCGCGTAGAG